ACCAATTTTGCCTGAATTTGCTCAAGCCCGCATAAAAAGGTCTCTGTCACCCCTCCTCTTGGCCCAGTCAGTTGCGGCCGAGGCATTCTCCCTCACCCTTTGTGATATGTAGCTGTGGGGTAAGGAATGGCCTGGCTGCAACTGGGCCGGGAGTGTGTCGGTGACAATTTTGCACTGGTTTGGTTGAAGTTGCTTCGCACCAAGCCCCTGCACATCACTAGTCCTGATCCAAATTCCAAACCTCTGCTCCATAAATAAAACATTTTCTTTATCTTCGGTGAAGAACCTTGGAGTGCGGCAGTTTCTGGATCAAGACCTCTGCTGTTTGAATCCAGATTTATAGTGTATCATAGACAAGCATTTTGACAACTTCCACAATTGACTTTTGTCTGCAGCCCCTGCATTATGGCTTTTACTATAGTGCAGAATTTCACACTTCTTTGAAGAAATCCTCATGCTACCTTTTTTTGTTTTGCACCAGACATGTTGATTATTAGTTTTCCATCTTCCCGAGAGCTCTTGGTGATTATGGAGTAAATGGTGATTCAGCTTAAGCCTCATAGGTTCTACTTTTTTAACAATGACTGTTCTGCTTCACCTGAGCATTAAGGCCTCAGAGAGGTATAAATTACACACAGCTGTCATGCTTTATGCTCAGGAACCTGTAGCAGTATGTTCATTGTTCAGGCTATTTCCTGGCAGCCCTGTGAATACATTTCATTACTCATTACTGATACATAAATTACATGGCAAACAAGATATTTTAGGTTGCTGCATGTCAATTTACAAGCCCTGATTTGGTGCCTTCTTTTTATAACCGCAAGAGAAGTATAGAGTAGGTGATACCTTATATGTACAGGTGGAGTGCGTGTACAGCATGGAACTAGCACACTGCAGAGGCGTTGCCCATAGCAACTATTTTAATGATTTTATTCTTCATAGGTTATTCTTGTATCATTTTATTGATGTTGTTATTCTTGTACGGGTTATAGATCTAAATATTTAAAAAGCTATTAAATTACTTTTCTCTATCTTTTACATTTTTGTGTGCACTTATTGAGCATGCAGAGTTTACCGATCCTCAAATACAGCAAACTTTTAAGACGTAATACTATACCTAATAACAATGAGATGTAAAGGAGAGTCCTAGCCACTGGCCTTGAGTGGAGGGATGTCCGAAAGCAAAGATATATTACTTACCATCACTCGTCTATTACTCTAAATCAGAATAAAAGCCCCACTCCGGGCAAAAAAAAACCCCAAAACCTTTTGTAGTGTGTCCTCCCCTATAGTAAAGGAAGAATGCAGTCCGCACTCTTTTCTATGCTGAATCAGTTTATTGAAGGTTTGTCTACCCCCTCTGACATGTTTCAACCAATCCCGGGCTTAGTCATAGTCTTTGACAGCCCAGGATTGGGTGAAAGATGTCAGAGGGAGCAGACCTCGGGCAGGACTCTGTATCATTGACAAACTTTTAATAAACTGATTCAGCGTTGAATGGAGTTCTGCTGGATTCTTCCCTTGCAAAATCTAGTTGTTGCAATCACTTGGTATACAGTATCAGGTCCAGTTAAACAGGGAGCCGATGGAACACTCCAGATCCACAATGCTTAAGGTATAACTAAAGGCAAAACTGTTTTTTTTTTATTTGGATGAGTGGTGAGGGGTTAGACCCTCTTTCAGGTTTTTATTGGATTCTTTGTCTCTGCTGGGGAGATTCACTCTAATTATCCTGATCACAGATGTTGCTGGGAATGACTTGCCGCCGGAACAGGAATACAGAAAAGCTTTCAATGGGGACATTTTTTCCATAAAAACTGTCTAGGAAGGGATTTCTCTCACTTATCCTCTTACATCCTGTTAAGGATACAGGACAGGAAGTGATGAAAAATTTCACAGGTGGCAAAGAAACCTGCTCCTACTCGTTACAAAATGGGTAAAAATGTTTGGACTTTAGATATAATTTAATGGGACAGCTCTATTGTAAATTTTCCTGCAATTCTGTAAACGTTACAAATCTCATATTTTGGTACCTGTGGATGCCAGGGCCATCTCCTGTTCTAAACAGCAGCTGGTGATGTAGCATTGTTCTTTACTTGGCACGATATTATGTAGATGAGATGCTTCAAAGATTTATTATAAATGTATGTGTACATTGTTCTAATTTTGGCTTTTTTTGTCTCACTGCAGGAGATGCAGCCAGTGATGGAGGTAAGGACAATAATTACCATGCTATTTAATAAACTGTCAGTTAAAAACTATTACTTTGGACCAAAATAATGTGTTTTAGCTGACAGTTAAAAATAACCAAATGTTTGGTTTTTGTTTCCTCGTATGTCTCGCAGAGCTCTTTTAAAGGCGATGTCATCTTGCTCATTGAGGGCAAAGTGACAAAGTTAAAGCACAGACCTGGGTATACTCTCCATCTTAGCAGTCCCCATTGCTTCACCTTCTGCTGCAGACACCACAAGATACCCTGTGCTTCTGGGTATGGGGGAGCATTTAACTTTGCTGCTAGGTCACAACACTGTCACATGTAATTAGGTGATGAGGACGTGACGCCATAGCACCTTGTAGTTGTCAACACCAGGTATTTTGGAGCAGGTACAACAGAGGAAGGAGTTTGCAGGGTAATGTTTTGAAGGTGAGCATACTTGGGCTTGTGTAGGCTTTAAGGCCTTGGTTCTCAACTGGTTGGTCATGACTCTAAAGTGGGTCCTGACCCTGTGTTCAGTGGATCCCTGTGTGCCTTCCACTTTTCTAGGTGAGAGGCTCCTCAGCCTCCCCCTAGCGCAGCACTGTCAGTTCTTGCGCCAAGCAGCCATTCAAAATATGCTGCCCGGCGCGGAGTGTCAGCTTGAGGTAGGGTGGGCTCCATCCATAGCTGCATTGCTTACAGCTCCCTTGTGTGTCCTGTAGAGGTACCTGGACCGGAGTGATGTAACAGTCTTTCTACCAGCACCCCTACAGGGTGTACAAGGGAGCTGTACAGGCAATGCACATATGGATGGAGCTCCATCACAGTGCAGCAGCCCACACTGGACCGCAGGCTAAGGATCCTCTCCAGTTCTGCTAAGGTAGGGAGACTGGGTGGATCTTAAAAAAAAGAACAACAAATTTTTTTTTTGGAGTGTGTATGTATGAGGGTGAGATTGTGTCTGTAATAGTGTGAATGGGCCCTCAAAAACAGTGTGTTAATCCCACAGTCCCATGCAATTAACACACTGTACTTTGCAATCGCACCTACTACGCATTTTGGTGTGAGAAGTGTATTGCATTGCAATTCATTTGAATGGCACCCCAAATGGACCTCCCACCCGCAGTTCTATTGCCCGCATCGGAACGCACAGTACCGCAATGCCGTGCGTTCCATTGCAGTGCAACATGGGTCACGACTTAATGACCAAGGACAAATGTGGATGCTGAGGTTACACAGGTTGAGAACCACTGCTTTAAGGAGACCCTTTCTCTTTGCCCTTAATGAGCAGGGTAAGCATGTCTCTTAACTAGCTAGTTGTATGCAGTAACCTTATACATAAGCTTATATATTTTCTTAGTATGTTTTGTGGTAGAACTTATTTTGTTTTTATACTGTGAATATGAATACCTGGAAAAACATAAAATCAGAGAACTGTTCATGCCACCCAGGAATCATTGTTCATATACTGAAATCAGATCCATTGTAGCCAAAAGAAGCAGGGCTTTTACAGTGCCTATGGAAAGAATTGCAGCCGCTTGTCCTTTCATTTTATGCTGTCTCCTTCCCTGAGATCTACATATCTATCAATGAAAAGAAGGGCTTGTGTAATATCTTTCTGCATAATTAGGGTTATGCAAAGCAAGTCTACAACAATAATGACATGCACAGAGTCACAGGCTCAATATTTGTAATTCCTGGAAAACTTGGTTATTAGTAGCTAGATGTTTTTCTCGCAATGGGTTTGCCTGATGTTTGCAACTAATAACATTTGTTTCCTGTATGAATGTCTGTATTCAATGCTGGCTTTTAAATTGAATATGATTAGTCGAGGTTATAATCTGATGTCTTATTTATTATAGAAGAAGACGCCGAGATACAGAATAAAGAAAATAATGACGCTTCTGATATGCAAACAAATATCTCTGCTCAAAGGTGATGGCACATTCTATATAAACAATGCTTATCTTCTGAAAGTCTGTATGTATCTGAGGTTATTATATAGTATACATGCTGAGTGCAGGGTTTTTATTTGCATTTAAAGGAGAACTATGGGGTCAGTATTTTCCCCATAGTTCTCCTTAGGGTAACGGGAGGACACAAACTAGCGTCCTCCCGTTACCCTAAGCTCAGTATACCGCGAGCTACAGCTCGCTAGATACTGAGCCGCCGCAGCAGGAGCGGATCTCGTGCTCACCTCCCGATCTACTGAGCCGACCTGTGACAGTCTCATTGTCACAGGTCGGCTAGAACTATGAGGTGAGTGAAAAGCACTCACCTCATAGTTCTCCTTTTAACTGGGTAGTTGCTCTTTATTTACTACACATGGATTGGTTTCTGAAGTTCAAAGCGGGATTCTTCTATGCATCCATATTCTAAATATTTGTATGTGGAGGAGGCTTTATTTTACTCATTATTCATACGACTTCTGCTCTCTGCTTAGAAGTTTTGCACAATGTTTGTATGTCTGTCAGTTTGCTCAAAGTGCTTATAAAACTTTAGACTAAAGACTTTATAAATAACTATTTCATCTTCTTTCAGCACTAATATAATGGTTGCTGACTGTACTATTTTATTTACGCATAGTGAGTAGAAGGAGACTCCACATATCTGTATATGAAATACTGTCATTGAAATATTGATGAGCTAGCATGTAAAAGTCACATCAAATACTACATTCGGCGTGCTCACTGAAGATAAAGCAGTGTCCCTGTAATGCTAAAAATCAGACCACATGTGTCTCGGTAAGTTTACTTAGTGTCCTACCATGTATTGCAGAAGAATCCCTCGACCTGGAAGTGCGAGACCAGCTCCACCAAGAGTAAAAAGGCAGCCCAGCACGGATGTAATTGTCCCTGAAAGGTAGGTATAAATGGTTTTAAAAACTCAGCCCACATGTATGCTTATTGAACTTGATTAAATGTATAACTTATATTAATGGGTGTTTTTAAAATTAAAAATAAAAACCCATTCATTTTCCTTTTATTGATGTGCACATTTAATATTGTGAAGATGGAGTGCGCATGGGCACTGTACTCAGTTCTTCCAAGAAGTAAGCGTTTTTTGTGTATTATTTTACCTCCTGCCGTCCGCCCGTTGAGAAAACGACAATTGTGCTACGCATGTTACATATCACCGCAAACGTCGAAATGAGAGCTATAATTTTAGGGGCATCAATCACTGATAACACTAAACAGATGAGCGGTAGAAGCTTTTAAAGCGTCGCCTATGGCCAATTTAGGGTATTGGTAGTTGTTTGAGGTTTCGCGCGTGCGCGCAATTTTAAGGCATGACATGTTTGGTGTCTTTTTACCCAGTAAGAAATGTCCGTCAAAGTACTACAGCGCTGAATACTGAAAAATGGCCTGGATGGGAAGGGGGTATAAACACAGTGGACTTCAAGTGGTTAAGGAGCATATTTAAAGTGGAGGTATGGGCAAAATAATGTAGATAATTTCTCCAATACATTCCCCCTTGTTGTTTTCCTCTTTAACGCACTGCAATTATGGAAAAATACCCGGTGATCCTGCCAGAAATCTAGTAACTTCCTTAGCGCTCTGCCTGTGTTGCACTTATCAGCTCTATCAGTTAGTAGCCCTGCCCAATTAACTTCTGTGGGCTATGGAACACCTTATGTTATGGAGATGGTGAGAGGGGGAGATGCTCTGTAGTACTAACACATTTCCTGTCCTAGAGTGACAACACTGCTCCTCCAAAGATACAGTACAAGTTTTGTCACCCTAGGATAGAACGTGTGTTACTGACCAGATAACTAAAACAAAATGAAGCAAACAAAGCCTGAGAGAGAAAATTAACTGAGTTCTAAAGTCCCAGTATATAGGGCTGCAACCAACTAATAGATCGATAACGAGAATAGTTGTCAACTTATCGATTAGTTATTTGGATCCCCTTGCTCTCTCCTCCATGCTAGGAGGAGGGTACAGCAAGCAGTGGACAGGTGCAATAGCCAGCCTGCTGGCTATTGTAGTGTGAAATGGCCAATAGGCTGGCTATTGCACCCGCCCGCTACCTGCTGTATTTATATTCAGCTGCCGTCTGCGGAATCTTGCCACTGGCAGCTGTCATTCCCTGGCTGAAGCTATTCAATCGCCATGTGCTTACAACACAATTATTAGAAAAAAAATAAAAATATGAAAGGTGGAAAAAAAAAAAAGTCCTTTTTGGTTCCGGCCTGACAAATTCTGCCGGGTGAGGTGTGTTGCAGTGCCATTCATTTCAATAACACCCTAAACGTGCCTCCCACCCACAGTGTGAACGCCTGCACTGGAAAGCACGGTACCGCAATGCCATGCTTTCCAATGCAGTGCTATTGCAAAAAATTGTGCCTGCAGTTTTATTCTAAAGTAAACTTTGTTACACTGCATTTGTGTATTTTATTTTAAATTAGGGATGGTGTTTATTTTTTTTAAATCTGATTAATCGAAAAAATTATCTGCCAACGAATCGATTTATGAAAATAATGATTAGTTGCAGCCCTACCAACATATACTATCCTGTTATAACATCAGCATTGTAATATAAATACATACTAGTTGTTTTTCATAATGCAATCAAAGCTTACTTGGAAAAAATCCCTTTTATGTAGTGAGTGCTGCCTTCTGTGTGCCCATCACTTTCACCAACTTCCTGGATTCCCAGTGTGCTTTGTATATCTTTCCCTGCTACTAGATTTCTCAAGACTACATATCCTGTTAATCATTGCTTCCAGCAAACAATGATAATGTTCCATTGTGGAAAGTTCAGACATTGAGTTGTAGTTCAGATGGCAGGCTTTGTTAGAGTTGTGATACAACGTGCATATTCACAGGGCTGAGTGAAACTGTGTCAGTGCATTGAGGAACACAATGGTCATCTTTAATAAGTAAGTTTATAAACTTCTAGATCAGTATGGTTATTAGGAGTGGGATAGAACTTATAGGAATTCAATATAGAAATAGATGTTTTATTTTTTTTGGATTTAGATACACTTTAAAGACTACTATAGTCTTAAGTGTGTCCTTGTTATTTGCATGTTGCCATGGCAGCACTACCAAATTTAGCTTAGGCAAATTAAAGAGTGACAGGCTCAGCTGTCATTCAGCAATTTATAGCACTGAATTATACAAAATGAGTGGGACATGATTGAATCGGAGGCAGGGCGTAACAGCAGCCTTCCAAAATGATTAGCCTTGTTTTAAGGAAAGAACTGCTATCTCTTACATGATTTTAATTTGTTAATTGTATGTTGCTATTACCTGTAATGCTCTCATTGCAATGATGACGTTGAAGACTGCATGTGTAGTGTAGAAGGTCCTTTTTAAATATCTTTTTTTGACTTAGGGCCAGCAGTGGAAAGGGTGTATCCAGTGTGATTGTGGAGAAGCAGAAAGATAACGGTGGTGATGATGATGATGACAATGAATTTGTGGTGGAGGAAGCGTCTCCTCAACTATCGGATATGCCCGCAATGGAGATGGTAAGAAGTGGGGCTGTATGGAGATTTGGTAAATGGCAGCATATTAGTCACATTGATTAACTAACAAATGTCTTCTCTTTACAGGAGTCAGAGCTAGACGGCCCGGCATCTGAGAAGCATGGTAAGAGTGACGCCAATAAGTGGTCTGTTCTTGTTGCTGTAGTATTTTGACTGCAAAATAAGTCCAAATACTACTGTTATTGGACTATGTCCAATAAAATTAATAATAAAACACAATTTCTTTGTAGTTGCATAGTATTTGAGGTTGAATAAAAACTTAAGTCCAAGTCCAACCTATTGTGTGTATGCATTTATGGTTGAGCTGGTGTGTGCGTGTGTATGAGTTCATGTGTGATTTTGCTCTTAGTAGTACCTGTATCCCTGTATGTTATAGTTTCTTGAATGATTCCACACTCTTAGCTGAAATCACTGCCTGCGGCAGTGAGTTCCAGACCTTAACCGCTCTAACTGAGAAGAACCCCTTGCGCCCCGTGTGCTGAAATTTTTTTTCCACCAAATTTTGGTGGTACCCTCTAGTCTCTGTTATGGAGTTAACCGTAAAGAGTTTGTTAATAATGTTGCTGTCACCATTGAACAGTTTATACAAGAAGATCATGTCCCCCCTTAATCTCCTTACTTCCAAAGAGAACATATTTAATTTTAACAGCCTTGTTTCATAGTTCCGGTCCTCCAACCACCTAATGAGTTTGGTTGTCCTCCGCTGGACTTTTTCCAGCTCAAGGACATCTTTTCTGTGTACTGGTGACCAAAACTGGACCGCGTACTCCAGATGAGGCCGAATCAGTGATCTGTAAAGTGACAAAATTATAGACTTGTCCCTGCAATACATTCCCTTCTTCATACAAGACAGGACTCTACTTGCTTTGTTTAACACAGGAATTTGATAATTCATGGACATTTATGTTATACTGCCGCCCACAGGAGGTTGGGACACTGGCAAACAAAAAACACTAAGCTTTTTCCCCGTGAAAGGCAGTTTATGGTGGTGTCTGTGACACTCCAGTCCGCTACCATAACAAGAATACCACCAAATAGTGTCTCGCATGGGCATAATGTCTGTTAATATACAAAAGCACTTTGGCTCTGTGCTAGGCATTATGAGGATGCACTTAAACCCATATCTTTAAAATAACAACAAATACTCCTTTTAGAAATGTTTAGTAATGACAATCTACCAACACATACTTCTAGATAATTGCAGGCTTTGCATTCTTTGCTCCTTATTTCTCATACAGGTATATTGGAATCCCTAGATAATACTGGCATGACCAAATAAATGACATAACACCCATGGGAACCCTGGACCTATCGCAGGATATAGCATAAGTACTGAGACTAGAAATATCCCGCTTTTGTAATAACCAGATAAACTTCCAGGATTTTACGTATTTTGTGAGTTCGTAGTTTGTGACTTTTATTTCAAGTTCCCGCTGCATCTTTAAGAGGCTGGGACTTGACAGTGTTGATGTCTTTGAATATCATGTGTGTATCTGCACACATGTGGCAGCCATTTTTAAATGAGGTGGCTGTTTTTTTCACTGATTCTAGATATCTGCGGATTGAAGCCGCTGACTCAAGGATTCATCTCACTTTTGCGGGATAAAATTATTTAAAAAAAACTAAGAGAACACTTGCCTCAGATGCGGAAAAATAAGGAGCAGTGTCATAAGCCTGCTCCTTCCCTTCCATCCAATAAACGTTCATTTTGTTCTTCCAAACCAGGACCTCTAGGCATCCTTGGCAATTAAAGGCCTCCAAGTTGTCAGACAAGTTCAGTTCAGCATGAAGGTCTTCCCCCACCTTTTCCATCTCAGTTGGGGGGACATCTGATTAAATTTACGGAGATGTGTGAAGCCAAATTTTGGATGATGGGGTTAGAGAGGTGATTTCCTCCGGTTACCAGATAGTTTCACCCTTCTCCTCCTCCTTGAGGAGTCTGCTAACAAAACTCCTAAATTTAAAGCGATACTAAACTCAGAAATTAAATAATAAAATAACCTCCTATTATATAAATATTAGGGATTGCGAAGGTTGTACAGTGTATGGCCACCTTTAGAGGTGCCTGCCAGCTAAATTAGAAGCCCACCTGGAGCTCCTCTCGCCGGACCAGCGCGCCGCTGACCTGCTCCTGACTGGCCGCTGCAGAGTTTTTTTTTCTTTTTCTTACTTACCTCGCCGAGCATCGCGTCACTGTGGCTCCAGTGGGCGGCGCTCCTAACCTAAATTAGGACCCCACCTGGAGCTGCGCCCACCGGAGCAGCAGTGACGCAACGCTCGGCGACGTAAGTAAGAAAAAAAAAAACCCCATAGCGCAAGCTTCGGCGCTAGGCATCGGGGCATTTTGACAAGTACAAGTACTTGTCAAAATGCCCTGTATCGGGCCCGATTCCGATGCTAGCATCAGTATCGGGACATCCCTAATTCTGATTATTGGTTACTCAAGTTTTTTTACTTTAAGAACAGTCTCTGTTGACTCTGGAGCTGGAGCTCAATGTCTCGGCAGTGCTGCAGACCTTAGAGAAATTCAGGTGGATTGTAAACATCGAAAAATCGTCGCTGTTTTCGTCACATCGCGTGGAGTACTTGGATCATCTGTTGGATACCTTTCAAGCAAAAGTGTTCCTTCCTCAAAGCAAAATATTGAAGTTGCAATATCAAGTTCGGTCCCATTGCCAGTCCTCCTTTAGAAGTTGCATGAGACTTTTGGGTCTGATGGTATCCACTTTTGAAGGGATTCCATTTGCTCAGTTTCATTCCAGGCCCTTGCAGAGAAACATTCTTACAGCGGGAGACAAGTCTCCTCTATCGATGGACAAGATGATCAGTTTGAGCGCCCTGACCAGAATTTCAGGGCCCTGACGTGGTGGTTGACGTCACCTGCGTTGACGACAGGAAATTTGTTTCTTCCCATAACTTGGAAGATTGTCATGACTGACGCTAGTCTTGTGAGATGGGGTGGTGTCTTGGATCACCTGTCTGTGCAGGGTTGTTAGTATCTGGAGGAATCCAAGCTTCTGGTCAATGACCTGGAGTTGAGAGCGATTCGCCTGGCGTTGTTTCACTGGACCCGTCTTTGACTGGTTGCCTGGTTTGGATTCAGTCGGTCAATGCCTCAGCAGTGGACTACATCAATCACCATGCAGGCACTAGGAGTATGTGGACAGCGAAGCGGGTTCATTTAATCTTGGATTGGGTGGAACTTCATGTTCCAGTGATCTCAGCGATCCACATTTCAGGAGTGGAAAACTGGCAGGTGGACTTTCTCAGCAGTTGTCTGGATCTGGGTGAATGGTCTCTCCATCCAGAGGTGTTTCAACAAATGTGTCACTGGAGAATGCCGGATGTGGATCTTCTAACTTCTTGTTACAACAAGGCGAACTGATTTTTGTCTAGAGCAAGGGATCCAACATCGGGATAGAGTGGATGCCTTGGTGGCTCCTTGTGATCAGTATACTTTGATGTATGTCTTAACTCCGCTATTGCTGTAACTTCATCTGCTTCGCAGGATAAAACACAAAGGAATTCCAGTCATCCTCGTCGCTCCAGATTGGCCTTGCAGGGTTTGGTATAATGAGTTGGTTCATCTGTCAATCCGTGGCTCTTCCAGATCGGCCAGATCTGTTATCTCATGGTCCAATCTTCCACCCTGTTTCTTGGTCGCTGGCTTTAATGGACTGGCTTTTGAAACACAGGTGTTAACAGAGGAATCTGGATTCTGTTACCTCACCGTTTTATCTTCCTCTGGCTCTACTTCCCTGATTCATACTTTTTGTTTTAGGGATTTTCATGGTTGTTCCTACTGTTCGGCCTTCTCTTCCTCTTTGGGGCTTAAATCTACCTTTTTATCTGTTCTACAAAAACCTCATTTTGAACCTATCCATGACATTTCTTTGTACTTATTATCCAAAAAACTTGTACTTCTTGTGACTCAGCCAAAAGGGTTTCCGAGTTTTCTATTTTGTCTGTGTAGAGAACCCCATTTGGTTCTTAAGGACAAGGTTGTTTTAAGACCGAAGGTTTCTATTTTACCCAAGATGGTCTCTCCTTTCGTTTAGATGAAGACATTGTTTTACCTACACTTTGTCCAGCTCCTTTTCATCCTAAGGAGATGCCTCTTCCTTGTTTGGATGTCGTGCAGGCTGTTAGTTTGTTCATCAGCCGGAGTTTGTTTATCAGCCACAGCTTCTTTCAGATGTTCAGACTCTTTATTTGTTCTTCCAGTAGGACCTAGAAAAGGTTGTTCAGCTTCTAGAGCCATGATTTCAAAATGGATTAGTCAGGTTAAGGTTTATGAGTTGTCTGATTTATAAGGTTCCTCATTTTCCTGTTTCTGCTCATTCTACTAGTGTAGGTAGTACTTCCTGGGCATTTCAAAATCAAGCTTCTGTTTCCCAAGTATGCAAGGCTGCAACTTGGTCTGTTCAAACTTTTGCAGAGTTTTATCAAGTTGATGTTTCTGCTTCCTCTGATGCTAGTTTTAGCAGAAAAGTTCCTAAGGGGGCTATTTTTAAATGTATTTTTACAGTTCCTTTTCCTGTTGAACTGGTTCTTTTAGCTTTTATGGTGCCCACCCCTCTGTTTGGACTGCTTTTGAACACCTCTACCTATCACAATTCTTCAGAGCTCTGTCCCTCAATGGACAAAAGTTATGTTCTTAAAGTGGCAGGCTTTTTGTTTGCTTAGTGTCTATTTCTCCTAGAGACAGCAGCATAACCCTACATTCCTTCAGAATTCTTAAGAGCTCTGTCCCTCAATGTTACATAGGTTGAAAAAAGACACTTGTCCATCGAGTTCAACCTATAGAGATATGAAGATAAACCTAAACAGAACGCTATGCCCACAATTACCCACTGTTGATCAAGAGGAAGGCAAAAAAAACCCCCTATAAAGTATGGTTCAATTTGCTCCAACAGGGGGAAAAAATTCCTTCCTGATCCCATAAGGCAATCGGATATTCCCTGGATCAACAATCGCTGATGCCTAATCTACCTATAAAAACTCAATAACCAGTAATATTCTGTGCATTTAAGAATACATCCAGATTTTATTAAACACAATTAACTGGGCGAGCTAGAACTAGCTCCTGGGTGAGTCTATTCC